ATATATCTGTAGCTAATCATCTAATGCTTTATGTTCTGTAACTGCATGTGTTTTCTGTGTGTTTATTCAGTGGCAGTGGGTCAGCGTGTGTGTGTGTGTGTGTGTGTGTGTACAGTACGTGTAAGAAAGGCGGTCGGCCCTGTGTCAGCTACCTTTGGCCTCCTCAGTGGGAGAGTGTGCCGTAATGATGCTGCACAGGGCTTAGCTTTGTTATGTAATCCTCCCACCAGTTTGAAACACCACCACTCTTTATTATGAAGCCTTGTATTAATGTAGGTGTGTGCACGAGTATGCGCCGATGCATGAATGTGTGCGCATGTGTGTGATTTGCACGCACTCATGTGACCCTACCCCCATCTATGAGATGCGTTTTACATCAGAATGAGGCAGAGCGAAGGAACATTTAGGTATAAACATTTCCTTAGCGAGGTCCTGAGGGATGTGTAAGTCTTTTATCTTCCCAGAGGCAGAGACAGCGGGGATACCTCTTTATACGAGCGCTGTGTGTGCTTGAAGATGGGATTCTCCCCAATTATGCTCCTATTCTTCTAGTATATTAGACTAACGGAGCCAGATGGTAAATAAAGGAAGCTGATTTAAACATGAGTTGCTGTTAGAGGGGTTTATGAAGCTCATTCCGCTGTCTCCTCGTCGTAGCGTTGGAATACGTTTGTGTAAAACAATACGCTGACACTGTGCCCTCTGTAAAAAGCAATCAGCTTTGTGTTCAAGATGCTGCAGTATTAGTGTGCTGTCTTTTTTTTCACGTTTTTATCCATCGGGAACAACTGTTGTGCTTTCAAAAGAAGTTTCTCTCCAGAATTTCACTGTGTTCCCGAGAGCTGCTGAGTCGGTGCGCAGCGGATTTGATGTGAGTCCATTTTGCTCCAGGGCTAGACCCAGTTAACAGACAGGAACTTAACAGGGAGGATGGGTGACCTTTGAGTTCAGCCAGCCAATAGCCATGGGAACCTGAATAACACCTCACCTGTATTTTTGCTTACTCTTGTTACTTATTTACATTTTCTGCCACAATGACCATTTCCAGAATTTAAAGGTATACAATGCAAGATGTTCCTAAAAAAACAATGTAGAAGTACAAAAGTAATCCTTCTCAATCATTGCTTATGGCCCACTAGAATTGTATGGCAGTGTATTTATATGCAGAGACTTCACCCTCTGCCTGTATATTCTTATTTTTTTTTTTCTTATTTTGCTGTGTTCAAGGCATTCCTGGGCACAGCGCACAGGAGAGTTGGGGTCTTTATGAAATAGTAGCAACCAGGTGCCAGACTGTGAGCAGCACACATCCAAGAGGAAGCTACAAAAGTCATGGACACTGTGCCGAAAAAAATGCAAATATAGCAAAGGGAAATGCCAAGCAGACAAGGCTGGGGTTGGCTTTCACGTTTACCACCTTTACTGTTTGGAAACAGAAGCCTATTACTGCATTGTATACCTTCAAGGCGGAAACTATTAAGATGACAAGACAAGCTAATTTGGTAATTGAGTCACTGCAAAGCAAAAATATTTGCTGGTTCCAGCCTCTCAAATGTGGATTTGATGCTTTTTCTGTGCTATGTAATAGTGAACTGAATATCTTTAAGTTTCATTCATTCATTCATTCATTCATTCATTCATCTTCTAACCGCTTCATCCTCTTGAGGGTCGCGGGGGGGCTGGAGCCTATCCCAGCTGACATCGGGCGAGAGGCAGGGTACACCCTGGACAGGTCGGCAGACTATCGCAGGGCTGACACATAGAGACACACAACCATTCACGCTCACATTCACACCTATGGACAATTTAGAGTTACCAATTAACCTAGTCCCCAATCTGCATGTCTTTGGACTGTGGGAGGAAGCCGGAGTGCCCAGAGAGAACCCACGCTGACACGGGGAGAACATGCAAACTCCACACAGAAGGGCTCCCATGCCCGGGATCGAACCGGCAACCCTCTTGCTGTGAGGCGAGAGTGCTAACCACCACACCACCGTGCCGCCCTCTTTAAGTTTCAGCCATTGGTAAAAATAGAACAAGCTATCTAAGACTCTGTAGACAAAACAATTAATTAGTTTCATTTAGAAACTAATTGGGAGATTAAACAATACTGCAAAATAATGTTTAATTGCAGCCCTAGAGACAATCGCTTTATTCTCATTCTTGTGTTGATTAACAGACCTTTTAATCTGCAAGTAAAAACTCTTTACATAAGGTAAAGCTGCACCTTTTACAGTTGTAGTTCAGTCTGGAACACTTTCGTCAAAGAAAACTTCATTTCCATTTGTAGTATTATATTTGGCATTATGGCTCTGTTCTGGGGCCTCTCTGCCTTTCCTCATTTCCTGCGCAGAAAGCCTCTTCCACGTTCCTACATGGAAAGCCTAAAGCGGTGGGAGCACACCTCTCTGCCCTTCCATGTGTAAACAAGAAAAGCCTGAGGCAGAGAAAGCCAACCCCCCTGACCTTCCATGCGCCTACATGAAAAGCCTAAGGCAGGGAGAGCATTAGCAAAGTCTCCCAGGAACAGAGCCAGCATCAATGACAAACAGAAATGACATTGACAAGTCAGGCACAACATAAAAAGGAGGAGCTGGGGTGGGGACAGGTTGCAAAGCAGCTTGCAGAGAAAGCAGCAACAGTAGGCAGGCCAGAGCAGTTTAAATACATGGCCCTGAATGAGATTCGCCAATTGGTTGCAAAGAGAGGAATCATGTGATCTATCAGCTGACTCCCTTCCATCAATCAGCTGCTCCATCAGTTGACTGGGCTGTTTGAGATCAACTGATGTAGTTGGGATGTGAGCGGAGCTTGGCATGTTGTCCTGCCTGAACTAACGCTATGCTCAATTTGGTGATGACTGACTTCAGCTTTTTTTCATTGTGTCCCTATTTTTATAATCCAGTCCAGTTTTTGTTGTACCGGCTTTAGATGCAAGCATAGTCACAGAGCTGCGTAGTAAAATAGTTACTGCTGGTAATGAAAGTATCATTGTTGTATGTCTGACTCACTGGTGCTTCTACTGTGGGTGGGTTGTTCTGCACTCAAGCCACTTGAACTTCGACTCCTGACGGGATACACATCACAGCAAGCACACACGCACACACACGTATACCATCCTATCCAAACCTTTGCTCTCATTAAAAACAAAAGACAGACAGCAAGATGAAGACAAAAGAAAAAACGCCAAGGCCTGACTGATGTTAAGAGGCATATGATTTTTAGGATGTGCTGCCAGGGTTGTTTCAGGTTGAGACTGGTGGCACATTGCCATATTATTCTGCCACAGTGTGAATCCAGACGAGAAGTAGATTATTAAGTGTTCTCCTGCAGTATTGATGGCTTATGTAGGGGCTGCTGCTGCAGCAGCAGTGTTGTGGTTGTCTCTCTGTCCCCTGGCTGTTCCTGACTAGCTGACTGGGGACCGGCTAATTGGAGGAAGCCCTGGAGGAGCACAGGAGGAGGAAGGAGAGGTAGAGGAGAAGTAGAGGAAACGATGGTGTCAGGCATCACGCATTGTCTGCATTTAAACCAACTCTGCCAGCAGTTTAGTGTGATACTGCGTCTTTTCAGTAATGCAGCATATTACAGCAGTCATAACAAAGAAAATCTGCTCAGTTTCTTCTTGTCATGATGAAAATGAGATTGTTGTTGTAAGGTACTTGCAGTATATAAATGCATATATTTTATAGCAGTATTTTTAAATCTAGGTAAGAGCTTGGCAATATCTCTATCATGATACGAGACTTGATATCGTCTTAGATTTTGGATATTGTCATATTGTAAGTGTTTTCTGGTTTAAAAGGCTGCATTAGAGTAAAGTGATGTAATTTTCTGAACTTACCATATTGTAGCTGTTCTTTGCCTTCACCCATGTATACTCTTATACCCTGTGTATATGGAGGTTATTAAATGTTGGAAAACCAGCAAAAATAGGTGATAGACTTCTTCCCCATTGCCAGTAGCTCTGCAGTAGATGAATATTCCTTTCTGCTTGTTCTCTGGTGTGTCACGTTAGGTGTCATGAACACTGCCGAAAACAGGTTAGTAAACAGTAGACGGCAGCATGGATCATTATGCTGACTAATGTGGAACAATGTTTGAGCGCTGCTTGGTTGAAGATGGATGGTGTGATAAGGGGTGAAAATTAGCGCATCAATCGAGGCGTGGTATTTCCATTACTGCCAGTCGGAGCTGATTGGAGCCAGAGCCGATAAATATTCGTGACCACTGCAGTCATTTGTTTTTGGAGTGAATGCTCGTTGTAGCCTTTCCCACTAAATACAAAAGCTAGATGTTAGTGGGTTTTTTGTCCAGTGGGAAAGGGGCTTTAGTCCTTATATCACCATTCCTGATGATTATTTATCAGAAATCTCATTGTCTAAAATTTTTGTGGAGTCAACTCCACAGTATTGTTGCAATGTTAATTTCGATGGTCAAATGTTTTGTGATATATATTTTTCATCATATCTCCCAGCCCTACAGCCAGATGCTTATGAATTATGGTCAGCAGCATTATATAGGCTATTATGTTCATCTGTAGAATCTGCTTTGTTCTCTGGCAGCCACAATGAGCCTTTGCGTTCATCATCTTAAGCTCTAGGATACATGCATTCCTGTCGGTGCAAATTTCACAGTCACTTTTCAGTCCACGAGTACCTCTCCCACTCCTCTGCCTCCGTCATCAACCCCCAGCCTCTTCCGCCTCATCCCACCTGTACTGTTTCGCACTGTAAGAGGGCAGGATGTGGGTGGAGGCTCACATTAACATTCAAGACAACCACTTACTGTGTCCAAAGATTCCGTCGATGGCTGTTCGCTCCGTGTGAGGCACATTTTGCATGGCTCAAGGAGGTTTGTGTATGTCGGAGAGAGAAAGAGAGCCAGAGGGAGACTGAATAGAGCAAGGTGCAAGTCTTTCTTCTCTGCCCTTGACCCCTGCTCTCTCTGCTGATAAGTGAAACCTCCACCTCCCATTTGTCTCTTGTTTTCTCTTTCAGACCATCATGGAGCAGTTCAACCCCTGCTTACGGAACTTCGTTGCCATGGGGAAGAACTATGAGAAGGCCCTTGCCAGTAAGTCCTTTTTTTTTTCCTCATTTATTTTCTCTGTGCTCCCTGTTTCGCTGCAGGTTTAGGCACACAGCCAAGCCAGCACTCTCTCTGTCTCTTTCTGTCTCTTACTTTCATGTGTATATCTACCTTTCTGAATATCTTTCTTTTTGCCTTGCCTAAAAAAGGACAGTATTTATGGTCTTGTCAAATGGGCAGGCCTTATCATGCGGTGCACAGCCTCTGACACCACTTGTATACTATTGTGGATGTGGATTCAGAGAAATACAAAAGGCCTTGAATCTGATGCACAAGTGAGGCTCATGGGTCACTGTCAGCAGTCAGATTCACAAAGGAAAACATGTGGATTTATGTTTGTCGCTGCTCAAACACTTACAGTGGTGCACCAGGATTTTTGACTCAATAACAATACCTCAAGACTTTCCCCCAAAATGCCCCTCAACCTTAACACAAGACCAAACCCCCTCAGTCAAACTAATCCAGCAATTAGTGCCCCCCTCACCCCCTCACCAAGCCTGTGTTTCTTTTCCCTGACACACACAGTAACTAATCCCAGCCTTGGTGTAGGTAGGAGACAGACTGGTAGGGACTCGCTGAGCCATTAAAGACCCACTTTGCAGGATTGGCTCGACCCAAGGGACTAAGAGGCTCTGATTTGCGGGGGCAGGGGAATGGGAGGACACACTTCCACCCATATGGTGCAATCACTGAAATTATTCAACACCAGAAATGCCAAAAGGGCTTCATGGGTAGGCCTGCTCGATCTGGATATGGACACGATCCAGCTTTTCCAACACAGCAGTGAGTTGAAAAATCTCACAGCGTTTGGTAAGTGTAAAAGCAACAGATGCATACAACTGAGTGACTCCAACTGCCTGCCAAACACAGCCTGGAACTTATTATACAACTCCCCTGACAGCATGATGAGGATGCTGTAGGTACAGGAAATGATCGTTGTCCTGATTAAGTGATGTAGGGTTCTTGCACCTCTTCTCTAGAGTGAGGTATGAGTGATGGATCAGTAGCTTTGAGACGTGCCCCTCCCTCTACCAGTTGTCTGTCTGCCTTGCAATCAGAGATCCGATAATCCTCTCCGTCTGTCTCTGTGAGCCCCTCGCCTCACATTTCATTAGACAGAAGTAAAGTATCTGTATAGATCCAGCTTATCTATTCAGCCACCCTTCAGCTGCACACACACACATACACTCTCTCACACGCTACAGCAGCAGCAGCATCGACAAGTAGAAAGAGTCTGTTGCTTGGAGATCGCTTTGAAAAATCTGCCGTAGCTCCCACTCGCTCCCACTCACGCAAGCCCCTACCGCACATGTGCAAACTCGCATATACACATTCATGCGCACTTTCCACATCAAGGCAGGCAGGGGGTCTGTTTGGCATAATGAGGAGAAATCAGCCGTGATGCTCTTGAGGCTCTGCTCTCAGTTCTCAGGTGTTTCCCCAGCAAGAGAGAGGAAGGAGGAAACGCATCTCGTCTTCTGCCATTGACTCAGCTGTAATTGGGATTAGCATTAGCATATGTCCCTCAGCCTCGGAGCGGAGCTGCAAGGCTTCCAGCATGGGAGACTTCCTCTATCGCAAGGGCTGCATTTGTCTGCTGGAATTAGCCTGCCCCTGCCAGGCTATTGTTGTAAATGTGTCTCTCACCTGGCAGCTGTCTGCAGGCACAGGGCCCATCTGTCACCTGGACTGCTGTTGAATTCACCTCTAAATGCAGCGGCCATTACTCACTGGAGATGGGCCGATTGGCAGGCTGTATGGCAGTCGGGCAGAAATCACTGGAAGCAGACTCTGCCCTGTGTGACCTTTTGTTGGCCAGCACAGCAGCAGTTAGAATAATAGGGACTGAGGTGGATATTGATCTGGGCAACCAGGAGTACTCTTGATCTTTATTCAGTCAGCATGAGAGAAGAGGAGATATGGCTGCTGATTAGGATTAACCTCACTGATTGTTTTTGTGTATCCTGAGGATCTAGAGCAGAGGTCAAGCGTTTTGTGTGTGCACGCTTGGATATGCACATCTGTGCATACATGTGGCATCTTTGAACCTTGAACTCTCTTGTAAGCGTGAAACCCTGTTTATTTGAGCAATTAGGTGAACCTGCTAGATTATAAAGGCAATTACAGTTACAATTACACCTTTTGTATAATGCTAGAGAGAAAGGCCCAATCCCAACACACCCCTTGCCCCTACCACTTAGCCCTTACCACTCCGTTTTGCGCGTTCACATCAAGGTGTGCTTTGTCCTGATTCTTGTTAGGATAGAGGGGTAGGGTTAGGGCTACATGGCCCCTACAAACAGGTTTTGGAAGACCATGGCGATTATGTACAAGCAACAAAAGACACCCACACAAAGATTTAATAATTGCAGTAACCATTGTATTATTTTAGTATAATGTCAGTTCAATGATTTATGGTCCTTTATAACAACCATAACAATTTAACTGAAGCCCTGCTGCGAAGTTGTTGCACTTTTTACTGCTCCTCTAATATCAGTGCAGACAGGCAGGGTAGGAGCACATATTGCTAATGTTAGCATACAGAGCACAGCTAGTTGCCTGGTAATGAAGCAATGTTCTTTTTTATGCAAAGACTTGTTTGATCAATTGACCCTTCGCTAATTCCCACCCTTGGACGTAGACTGGCCAATCGTAACGTAGCATCGGACCGATGCAGACCAGGGTCCGACAACAACACAGCTGTGCTCCATTGACCGTAGACAACACAAGAGAAATCACCACTGCAGAAGAGGGCATATTCACAATGTCCGACAACACTTGTCTGTTTACGTAAACGCCAGCATACCGATGATGTATAAGGGTCTTACAGGTTGGTCCCATTTTATAGGGGAAGTTTTCAACCCCTGCCCCTTTTAACTCTGTTCCATGGAGCAAGGTGGCACTTGAGAAGCCCCGCTGCAGTGTCAGCCACAATACAGCACACCTGAAAGTGATGAACATCCAGTGTTGCAGAGGGAAACCCCAGCAGGTTGAAGCTTTGCCGATACAGGTTTGCTGACCATCCGCTCATCAGCAGTCTCCCTGAGTCACTGTGTCACCCTGCTGTCCAGTGTTCAGACCCATTGACAAAAAGATGAAATGGAATGGAAAGGCCAGTTGTGGGTAACGGCATGTGGTAAACAGCGTGACATTGCTGTTTCCTTGGGGGGGGAACAACAATGTTTTCTCACAGCTGTTGGCTGCAAATATTGAATTTTAGTGGTCCATTTGGTCATAGATCAAAAAGACACCAAGGATGAAGGAAATGCCAGAATATCAACTCACATAATAGACATCATAAAATTAAACACATAAGCAAGCTGATTGATTCATTGTTGTCTATGCTGTGTGGTACTTATCATAGATGCAGCAAATGGACAAGCTGTTGAAAACATAAAATGTTTTTACAGTAGTTGTTATCTGGAAAAACAGATGCGTTCAGAGCGACATTAATTTAGGCTTCACTGGGTGTGAAGTGTAGGGGGGATTTACTTAGTGCCAAAAACCCTACTAAATTATTAAACTTGCTCACATTGGTTTTGCAATGATAATAAAACAACTTTCCTTGTCATTATAACACCAAGCAAGAGACAAAACATAACAGGAATCACATTTTTGTGCTTGTGTGGCTTCCCCATCAAGCACAGATTATCTGTCAGAAAGTAATTTCCTCCTTGCAATCAAGCACGCAGAATGCCAACAAGATGATGTCGAGTAATTACGTAGCAACATCAGTGTTGCTTATTTTCTGGTGGCGAGAAGCTGTGATTCACCGCTTCGGAAGCATCTGAGGAAAGCAGAGGTGGAAAGACAGAGTGCAAATGTATCGGCGTCACTGGCCAGACTGCTGACGACTTTGTTTACACAAAGGCACACTGTATTACAGTTTTGTGGAGACACACTGCAGTGTTACTTTGATCTAATAACCCCTCTTTGCTTTCTTTTTGTTCTTGCTTCTCTTCGTCTCCAGATGTGACATTTGCTGCCAAAGGCTACTTTGATGCGCTGGTTAGAATGGGTGAACTGGCCAGTGAGAGTCAAGGATCCAAAGATTTGGGTAAGTGGCTGACATACACCTGCTGACCTTTGTTTTTTTTCTGCCACTTTTGTTCTTTGTCTTTCTTCTTGTTGGCCGCACTGGCCCACAACAGAAGCACACATACGTCATCTGACATTAAAAAAAGTGGCAGTGGAGGCTACATTGCATTCAGAGAGACGTGTGGGTTGATACAGGTGGTGTTTTTTAATTAGAATTTTTTTACTGAATCATTTTAATGCTAAAGCAGTTTGTTGTTCGACTGTGTCCTGGAGGTAATAACTTTTTTTTTTTTTTATGGGGCTTTTTTTGTCAAAATAATGTCATCAGAGTTTGAGAAAGGTAACAATAATGGATGCCGTACCGTCAGCTCAGCCAGGTGGGAGCTGAGCGTGATTTATTTACAGCATTATAGACCGATGGTAACATGTTTTCATCCAAGCTGAAGATTGTTTTTGGAAGGGTTTTATTTTATGTGACTGACTGGAGAGGAATTTATTGATTCTGTGTGGAAAAATTTATCAGTATACGAGATGTTAGAAGTGTTGCTCCTTGTGTGATGTGTGTATTTCATGTCAATTAGGTGTGCCTGCATCGCTGTTCTGGTTACACACATAGAGGTCAATTGGCAACGAACACCTGGTCCTCTCATAGTGAGACGTTTCCTAGGTGATGGGCATCTGTATTTGCTGTCGCCGGCCTATGGGAAATCAGCTCCTGTTTGAAGAGATTCCCTTCGCACTGATTGTGCTTTCGACTGCTTGATCTGCGTGGAAGTAGCTGTTGATTTGACAGGGCCTTTGTTGCGGTGGAGCTGAGATCTAGTTTTGGGTTTCCTCCAGCCCAGCCAACAGGGACTAACATGAAAGTGCTCTCAGGATGTTTTATTCAGTAAGCGGCCTTCTCTCTCTCCTCTCTTTCTCTCTATCTCCCTCTATCTCTGTGAGGTTTTCCATTGATACAGCAGTATCTTCCTGTTGAACTGAGCCTCACTTACAGTAGCAGGCTCTTCCAAGACAGGCATCCTCAGCTGAACTTGTCATAAAAGGGTGCTTCATGTACGTGATCGGACTGACAGCTGATCTTATCTCTTCTTGCACCACACAACACTGTGATTCTAACAGCAAGGGATTATTGTAAGGAATAGTTATTGTCAGAAACTTTTGAATTCTTACATTCCTGTATGTGCTGATGCTCCCTCGTTGTTACATATATTGCCACGGGACATTTGGAAATTGTGCATATGTGTGTGTGTGTGTGTGTGTGTGTGTGTGTGTGTGTGTGTGTGTGTAAGTATATCAACTTTCTCCCCTCTTTTGTCATAAGTATGTATGATGGAACAGAAAACGGATTCTGTTTTCAAAAGCCCTGCCTGAAGGACGATGTGCAAGGGACTGGATATTTGAAATGACTCATCCTCGCTGTCTTTATATCTGTGTGTTTTTGTCTGTGTTCATCGACTAAATCTATCTCTGCAGCTGAAAGTTGAAAAAGAAAGGCTGTGATGTAGCTAAAGATATTAGGCCCTGCTGTTCATTGCCAGTCTCCAGTACAATGCACCAGCATCCAACACTCCACCCTTCATGCCACCATGGATCCCGAGGGGAGGATCGGTGTGGTTTTATTTTCCAGCCACCTGCTCTCGACTTTTTGGAGTCCCCACCCTGAGGTCGGCGCCAGTGCCCTGACCTCCTGTCAAAACCGTGTGCAGGGATGAGTCCCATAGCTCAAAGTTTCCTGTTTGACCGGTGGTGGAGCACAGAAATATCCACAGATTGGAGGAAAATAGAGCACTGGAGGTTAGACAAACAAACCACAGCTTGTGGGTTAAGGTTGACAACACATAGAATATAGAGGTGAGATACTACTTGAAGAGATCATTCTTGAACTTACTCAGCAATTAGCTTTTAGATCTCCATTTTGTAATTAATTTAGTCCTAATCTGATTCTTTTTAAGATATGTTGCCATCAGTGTTGGGCAAGCTACTCTCAATATGTAATATCACATGTCACTAGTTACCTTCATTTGAAAGTAATAAGGTACTCTACAATATTACTCTCTGTGTAGGGTGATAAGTTGCTTATTACACTACTTTTGTGTTACCTTCACCAAAGTGACCTCAGAAGAACTAAAAGGCATTTTGAATGGATGAGGGTCATGTTGTTTCACAGCAGGTAATCATAGCACAGAAGCTCCAGTGCTGCACAGGTCTGACCCATTCATGCATTCACATACAGTGGTTCACACTTTGTATTAAAATCCCCTGCTTATATTAATAATAGTGTGATGATATAAAAAGATTAAATAGCCTGGACCTTTTAAAATAAATGAACAGCCTTGGACAGAGGGAGCGTCCGGCAGAGGATCAAAGTCTGATAATAATGAGATATGGATGATCGTTTGTGGGCCTATGGTATTAAACACAACAAACAAATATTGAGGTTAGCACAGCAAACAGAATGGTGTGAGATTAAATCACTGTGACGAGTGCAAATTAACACATCGGAGCTGGAGGACCCACCTGCCTGTTCCCCGTGTGCTGGTCAGCTACAGCAACACCGGAGAAAGAGTTATTCATAAGAAGGGGACGGTGTGCTGCCGTTGCTCTGCGGTTGTAGGGAATGTGAATTGAAACACATCCAACTTACACTAACATCATTGGGATGAGAAACAAACTTGAGGCCAGCTCAATGTCCCCGCTGCTTTCAGGCAGCCTTAGGACTCAAAAGCAGAACTGGATACAGTGTAGATGTATGAATGGAAACACACTGGCCATGATAACACACATGATCACTGTTTTCTGGTCGCGCACTGGTGGAAGTGACAGTTTATCTTGGCTGGTAATGTGCTGTGTGATATTGTAAATTTAATAATATTACCCGAAATACTGTTGGTAATGCGTCATACTTTTTACTGCTAAAAAGTAATATATTACTGTAACACTTTACCCCCCACTCTGGTTGCCATGCAAAGTATTTGAACATTTTCTCTTTAAATAATGTAAGTAAATAATAGGGCTGCCATGATTAGTCGACTAATCGATGACTAATTGACTATTAAAATAATCGGTGACTATTTTAGTAGTTGACTAATCGTTTTGAGTCATTTTTCATAGAAAAGTACTATAAAAGTAGCCCAAAATACTCTTATTGCAGCTTCTTACGCTCAAATTTTGGCAGCTTTACACACCCTCCCGTGACAGTGAACTAAAACCCTTTGGCGTGAGTATGAAACAAGACATTAGATGACATAATTTTGGGGTTTGGGCGAGACAGACCGACATTTTTCAACATTTTTACACATTTTTCGATGAAATGATTATTCGACTAATCGAAGAAATAATCGACAGATTAGTCGACAATGAAAATAATCGTTAGTGGCAGCCCTAGTAAATAAGTTATTTCCCCCTACAGTGACTTCAAGAGTTCAATAATAATTCCACCCATTTGTAATACGGGTATTGATGGAGATTTAAATAAAAACACTAAGGGGATATTAATGGTCAAGTGTGTAAGATTTAGCTGAATTTAGCAGCATGTAGTGCTGAGGATTGCACATCGCAACCAGTTATGACTTCCTCTTTCCTCCTGGTTACAATTTCTTCAGTGTTCTTTGTTCAGGAAGTTTCCACCGGGAGCTGAATTATCCGCAAAGGTCTCCTCCAGGTGATTAAAACCGGTAAAAACACTGAATATAGCAGTTTCACGTTACAAATCGCTGTTTCTCAGATACTGCTTGGCATGTCACAAACGGGCAACTCGCCCACCACATGCTAAAATGTGTGCTCAACTTTTTCTCCTGATAGCTTGCAGATGCAGATGTTCAGGAGGTTTTAACCAGGAGCAGAATTATCTGCAGATGTCTTTTTTGGCTGCAAAACAAACATGACCANCAAGTGTGTAAGATTTAGCTGAATTTAGCAGCATGTAGTGCTGAGGATTGCACATCGCAACCAGTTATGACTTCCTCTTTCCTCCCGGTTACAATTTCTTCAGTGTTCTTTGTTCAGGAAGTTTCCACCGGGAGCTGAATTATCCGCAAAGGTCTCCTCCAGGTGATTAAACCGGTAAAAACACTGAATATAGCAGTTTCACGTTACAAATTGCTGTTTCTCAGACACTGCTTGGCATGTCACAAACGGGCAACTCGCCCACCACATGCTAATGTGTGCTCACCTTTTTTTCCTGATAGCTTGCAGATGCAGATGTTCAGGAGGTTTTAACCAGGAGCAGAATTATCTGCAGATGTCTTTTTTGGCTGCAAAACAAACATGACCACTAAAACACTGAATAAAACAGTTTTATGTTACAAATCAGTGTTTTTTTCGATGCTGCAGATTGGCTTGTGACTAAAGTGGTCAATGTGAAAACACAAAAACGTGAATTGCCTTATCTAGAGCCAGTGTTTGGTGGATCCGATCTGGGTTACTGAAACATAGTGGTGAAAGTGGCATAAACTAGGATTTTCAGGTGATTATACGCTAAAGAAAATATGTTATTTTCCATATCTGCCAATATACACCCCTAAGCCCTACACACTGGACTTGTAAGGCTTGAAGACAGGTATATTTTGGATCTCCCAGGCCATCAGATAAAGTTATGGGCTCACAGGCGCCATTATGTTGTTGTTGATTTGAAATTTATGGCCCCAGTAGCTGATACAACTCACACTTCAAAGCATCATGTTCTGTATCTGAGTATAAACACTACATCCTTGATTTCCCACAGTCTGATCAGTCAGATGATAAGTGGGCTTCATGTTAACGTTGCTTGTTTGAAGAGTTGATTGAGTTCATTGGCTGCCTGAAAGATAAATCGCTTTTTCCACGGCCTTTTCTGTATTTGCGCATGCTCACAGAATCATATGTGCGTATGCGTTTGAGCTCTTGTTGCGCCTCTTTAAAGCCTGTTAATTCCATCGAGGCTCAGTAAGAGACGGGTTGCAAATGGTCCCACCTACACACCTAAGAGTCGGCAGCTGCTCTCCATCTCTTTCTTCCTCCCTCCTCCCCCTTTTCTCC